CTCAGGCGCCTGGGTGGCTCAGTCGTTAAGCATCTGCCTTCGGCTCAGGTCATGATCCCGGGGTCCTGGGATCGAACCCCGCATCGGGCTCCCTGCTCCGCGGGAAGCCTGCTTCTCCCTCTCCCACTCCCCCTTCTTGTGTTCCCTCTCTCGCTGTGTCTCTCTCTGTCAAATAAATAAATAAAATCTTTAAGAAAAAAAAAAACAATCAGTGTCTCAGTTCATGCTGCTCCCTCCCTTGATCTACCCATCCTCACCTTGCACATGCCCATCCAAGAAGCATATACCCACACCAACTCCCCCAAATAGGGTATAAACTTGTCCTTCTCTAAATCTCTACTGCACTTTGTCCTTCACTTGTAGCAATCCAGAATTACACAAATACCAAAAAGACATTTGGTTGACACTGGCGGAAATAAATACTACCAAACCAGTAACAAATTCTGTTTCAGATAAATCTACAGTTCATTCATGGCATCTATGCCACTGTTCTCTGTCATAATCCTTAGAGGACATAAATCACTAACTCTCCCAGGAAAACATCAGGGCTTTGGCTTTCTGAAGTCATCAAAGGTTCCAAATCTCAAAAGTCCAGCTAAGTATAATACCTCAGAAGTCCCACACAAGTTAAATGCACAAACCATCCAGTTTCAAGTATGATTTAATTTTTTTTATTTAGCAATGCTTGATTTCAAGGTGCTGTCAGAACACCTAACACCTATTCAAAACAGATTTTCTATGCGATCTTTCTCAATGCGTTGACAATATATGTGATAAAACCGGGGTGCCTGGATGGCTCAGTCGGTTAAGTGTCCGACTCTTGCTTTTGGCTCAGGTCATGATCTCAGGGTCCTGGGATCCAGCCCCGTGTCGGGCTCCAAGCTCAGTGTGTAAAGAATCTGCTTGAGATTCTTTCCCTCTTCCTCTGCCTCTGCCCCTTCCCCAGTTCACACATGGGCGTGCACGCTTTCCCTCAAATAAATAAATTAATAAAACCTAAAAAATATGTCATAAGGGGCACCTGGGTGTCTCAGAAAGTTAAGCATCTGCCTTCGGCTCAGGTCATGATCTCAGGGTCCTGGGATCAAGCCCTAGTCCGGCTCTCTGCTCAGCAGGGAGTCTGCTTCTCCCTCTCCCTCAAAGCTCGCGCTCTCTCCCTCTCAAATAAATAAAATCTTTAAAAAAAATATGTCATAAAACCTATAGGCTGAAATAACTCTAAATAATAAAAATAAATTTTATTTTATTTATTTTATAAATAAAAATAAATAAAACTTGGCCTTGGGCACCTGGGTGGCTCAGTCGTTAAGTGTCTGCCTTCGGCTCAAGTCATAATCCCAGGGCCCTGGGATCGAGCCCCGCATCGGGCTCCCTGCTCAGCGGGAAGCCTGCTTCTCCCTCTCCCACACCCCCTGCTTGTGTTCCCTCTCTCGCTGTCTCTGTCAAATAAATAAATAAAATCTTTTAAAAAATAAATAAATAAAATAAAATAAAATTTGGCCTTTTTCAGCCAAATGCCTCTAAGCTGAAGCAAACCTAGATGATTTCAATTTTGAATTAATAAATTGTCATTTCTATTGTATTCATTTCTATTTGTCATGTGAATATCTTACACACCCATTTAAAATTTTTCTCCATAAAAGGAAAACATTTAATCTCCAATGAAAATACTTTTTAAAATCTATGATTTTATAGGTGCCTGGGTGGCTCAGTCGGAGGAGCGTGTGACTCCTGATCTCAGGGTCATGAGTTTGAGCCCCACAATGAGTGTAAATATTACTAAAAAAATAAATTTTAAAAAAAACCTATAATTTTAGAAAAGTAAGCTCATAATATCAACCAACATCTCTGCATCAGGAACAGTCATATAACCTACAAACCACTCAACAGATGAATGAACTAATGAATAATTTCTTATGCTAGCAATTTAATATGTTAGAACTTAAGCCAACGGTAGTACTGCCTCCAAAAATTAATCAAATTGTTCTAAATTCCCAATAAAGTATAATCCTTTTTTAGCCCTGACAGTACAGGATTCAAATCCACCAATCGTATTTCCTTTTGTGCTCTTAGGGTATCAGTTCCAGAACGTTTTTTCTCCCCAGGCATATACACATATACACATTTACCTGAGAGCCTTCTCCCTAGCCTTTATTGTCTGGAAATACGGACAATAAAACCAATGAAACTGGGGCTTAGCCTCAACAACTCACTGTCATGCACTGTTACTCATTCTAGCCAAGTGGACATATTCTCAAAGTTTAGAACACAAAATGCATGATCTCTTTCACCATAATCTTGAGGAATAATGTGTCTCAAAAAGTGAAAAATCCAACAAGTTAACACCACATCCAACAAAGAAAGGAAAATGCCTGGCAAGTAATATGAAAGAGCAGCTTAAAACACACTAACTGCTACTAAAAACACTCACTGGTCAAACGATCAAAATCTAATTAGATCAATTTTTAGTTTCCCAAATCCAAAATATTTAGGAGCTAGGACACCCACTGCAGAATTATCAAAACTTCATCTATTACAAGCTCTCACCTAACTAACAATCATTTATCCAACCAATCTTTGTTGAGCAGCTGCTATGTGCGAGACACTGTACTAGGAACTGCAGGAGATAAAAGATTAACATAAGGATATATAATCCTTAATTTCTTATAAAGATAAGTATACACAAAGTAGTCTACAAATAACATTAATAAAAACAAAATGTCATGGAAGTACATAAATATACAAGTATTTTTTTATAAAAAAGGAAACCTAAACACAAATTTTAATTTAACTCATCATATACACAGCTATCAATCCTAAGTATTATTTGCTAGTCCCTCAAAGAGGTTAAAGTTAGCTGAACTGCCCTGCCAAAATGCCTCAGCTCTGTCTAGCCGGAAAAAACATCCTCAGATAGTGTAATTCAGTCTCTATGGGTCTTTCAATTCTGGGTAGAAAGAACCACGTAGGATTTCTTAAGGTAAAAACTATTACTATAAAAGATCTTAAGTTGGCTAAAGAATGAAAAGTGGCGGGCAGTTCCTTCTACACACAAGACATAAATACTTGACACTTGATTCATTCCCTTCACTCTCCTGCCAACATCCCCTCCTAACCCTGACTGGGCAAAGGCAGGCAGATATTGTCAGGCAAAAGAAAATTACCTTTTGCATTTGCTGTTAGGACAACCTAAATGAGTCTTCGTCTGGCTTCATACTCATGCTCCTCCATAAGTAGTTAAGCATTTATAAAAAATGGAAACATCTCAATTTAACCCCTTCTATTACCCTAGTCTCTATTAAAAACAAATGACACATTAATTACTTTTTTAAGATCCTATTTCCTCATAAACTTCACTCTGTAAATGCTCTTAAAACTGGAATCTAATTTTGTTAATCCACATTAACAAAAATATAAAGGAAAAATCTTGTAGGCTATTGCTACAAGTTACTTTCCCCCCCCCCAATTTAGTAATCTGCAACTACGTATTTAATACAAAGCAGCAATTGTGTGTTTAAAAAAAAAAAAAAAATTTCATCTCAGCACCAGCCTAGAGATTCTTTCTGCGAGAAAATAGGAGAAAAGTCACCCTGGAGAAATTCATTACAGATCCAGAGAAGACTTTTATCCTTAGAAATAGAATCAAGAAAAAAAGTGTTTCTGTAATAAATCCCCATGTACTTCTGCCTTGTGACTAAGAAGCTGGTCCAAAAGTTCACCTTCAGCAATTACGTCTGCATGATCAACTATACATCTTCTGCAACAGGTGACGCGGAACTGCATTTCTCAGGCGAAGCAAAGGGATCGAATTAGTTAAGACGCATGTTGCTGCAGTTTCTTACTTTTGGGGGGGGGGTGGATTTTACGAAAATGATTTGGAATCGAATGAATTGCCACATTTGTTTTGGTTTTGTTTGACTTTCTACTCTGCTTTTTAATCAGCCATTTACCAGCAACTGTTGCACGAGCCCATTAGCACTCAAGAATAAAAACAAACACGCAGGACCAGATAAGGCTCCCCTACCAACCCAACCGATCCATTTCCTTAACACAATTTTAAAACCACACTGCTGAGAAGGATGTTTTTGCGTGTGTTTGTGTGCCACAATCTGTCTAAATCCTCAATTCCCTTTTAAGGAACAGATATATAATAAAAATCTAAAAGAAACCAAATTAGAAATGCAAAGACGTTTGCAAAACAAGAGGCTTCTTTCATTCCAAAAACCAAACCAAAACAAGGGGAGAAAAATGAATGCAATGGATATGTGTGTGCCAAAGTTTCAATCCTGCCCGGTGGAGACACTACACTGGCACAAATTTTGAAGAGGAAAAAGAGGGGGTTGGGGGGAGAGAAAGAGAGCGAGTGTGTGGCCTGCAAACTGCAACAATGCAATCTCCATTTTGAACAATGCGCCTCTTTCCTCTTGTAAATCTAGTTTTTTGCCACTTGATGTGCCGTCGCGTTTCCCCTCCGTCTGGGGGGGAGGTGGGGGTGGGGGGAGACCAGAGAGGGAGTGAGCAAGGGGGGAGGGCAGAGGAGGTGGGGAAGGAGTCTGCAGCAACTGGGCTGGGTGGGTACCTGGAGTGCTGCTATAGGTGCTATGGCTCCTGAAGCTGCTTTCCGTGCAGTAACTGGCGTCGTCGTCGTCGTCTTCCATCTCCTCCGGATAATCGGAATCATCGTCGTCCTCCTCCATCTCATCCTCCTCGTCGTCCTCGGAATCTTGGGTCTCCTCGGCGTCGCCGTCCTCCTCCTCCTCCTCCTCCTCGGAGACCATGTCCTCCTCCTCCTCCTCCTCCTCGCTCTCGTGGTCATCGTACACCACTTTGTTGACGGCCCTCCGGGCCG